TTTGTCCCAGCCCATCATCTCCATGTCCCTCCATCAAGACCTGCACTATGTCCCCTACACACCCAGTCACTGAGTACCCTGCAGGGTTCCAGCTTTATCCTCTTTACCTTCCTGGAGAACTCCACACTGTAGCAGCTGGACCAGGCCCAAGCCCACAGGCCTCCCCTGTACCCTCTTAAGAAAGAAAAACTTTCTAAATATGAAATGGTATATACAATGTAAGTTGTAATAATTAGGAATATTCTCAAGTTTAGATTTGATTATTTAAAATTCATTTAAAGTTATTTAGCTCATAAACTTTGGCATATCTCAAATTTCAAGATGAAGAAAGTACAGTCTTTGCCCTTAAGGAGTTAATAATTTTGCATTGAGGTCAGAATGGCTAAAATTAACAAGACAGGAAACAACAGATGTTGGTGAGGATGCTGAGAAAGGGGAACCAACCGTCTTACACTGTTGGGAATGCTAACTGGTGCAGTCAGTAACACACTATGTGGAGGGTCCTCAAAAAATTGAAAATAGAGGTACCAAATGACCCAGCAGTTGCGCTACTAAATATTTACCCAAAGAATACAAATGTAGTGATCCAGAGAGGCACGTGCACCCCAATGTTTAGAGCAGCAGTGCCCACAATAGCCAAACTATGGAATGAGCCCAGATGTCCATTGACAGATAAATGGATTAAGAAGGTGTGGTAATTGGGTGCCTAGGTGGCTCAGCGGTTGAGCTTCTGCCTTCAGCTCAGGTTGTGATCCTGGAGTTTCTGGATTGAGTCCCACATCGGGCTCCCCATGGGGAGCCTGCTTCTCCCTCTGCCTGTGTCTCTGCCTCTCTCTCTGTGTCTCTGAATAAATAAGATCTTAAAAAAAAAAGTGTGGTAACATATACAATGGAATACTACTCAGCCTTCAAAAAATGAAATCTTGCCATTTGCAATGATGTGGATATAACTAGAGCGTATTCTAAGCAAAATAAGTCAGTCAGAGAAAGGCAATTATATGATCTCACATGTGGAATTTAAGAAAACAAAAAAAAATAAAAGAAATAAAACAGGATCATAGGGGAGAAGGGGAAAAGTAAGACTAAATCAGAGAGGGAGACAAACCATAAGAGACTCTTCAATCATAGGAAACAAGCTGAGGGTTGCTAGAGGGGAGAGGGGTGGAGGATGGGGTTAATTGTGTGATGGACATTAAGGAGGGCATATAATGTAATGAGCACTGGGTATTAAATAAAACTGATGAAGCCCTGAACTCTACTCTGAAACTAATACTATTTGTTAATTAATTGAATTTGAATTAAATAATAATTTTGCAGGTGAAAGGGGCACTTGGGTAGCTCAATCAGTTAAGCATCTGCTTTCAGCTCAGGTCATAATCCCAGGATCCTGGGATCAAGCCCTGTGTCAGGCTTCCTGCTTGGTGAAGAGTCTGCTCCCTCTGCACCTTCCCCTGCTCATTCTCTTTCGCTCAAATAAATAAAATCTTAAAAATAACCAGTTTTTTAACTGTTCACCAGTTTTGAGGTGAAATAAACATGATAAGCAAAAAACTACAGTATACAGTAATCAGTCCTGTAATAGAGGTGTGTATTCATGTCATGGAAACATAGAGAACTGTAAAGGTGGAGAATCCTCTGTTAAGAAACTGAAGAAAATATTAGTAATTCTTCTTTATTTGGCCAAATGGAACAATGCTTTTAAGAAAGACTATTATGAACCTATTTAGAAAATTATAATTACTACATACAAGTACATTACATACAATTTTACAAAGTTATAAAGTAATTTATTTCTTTATGATGCTTGAACTTGCTATCTGAACTATGAAAAATTAAGCCTTCAGCATCACTGTGATGTATAAAATCAGGGCATTTTGCTTATTTTCTGTAATCACGTGCTGTAACAGCTAAGGAGGGTATATAGTACTAGGGCCAGAGCCAGATAGCATTAGGATCCAGGAATTTCTTGCTTTATTATTTTTTTTTAATTTCTTGCTTTAAAAAATAATTTCAGGGTCAGTTTAAGTATAAAATATGAATGTATTTGATGTGAAACACAAATCATTTTTGATTGCTGCTTCAACCTTTGTGAGATTTTTTTTTTTTTTTAGCAAATATTGTTAGGCTGTTTATTAGGTAGTTTGGTTATTAGCATACTTTTTTGTATAATTTTTATTGGAGTTCAATTTGCCAACATATAGCATAACACCCAGTGCTCATCCCATCAAGTGCCCCCCTCAGTGCCCGTCACCCAGTCACCCCAACCCTCTGCCCACCTCCCTTTCCACCACCCGTTGTTCCTTTCCCAGAGTTAGGAGTCTCTTATGTTCTTTCACCCTCACTGATATTTCGCACTTATTTTCTCCCGTTTCCCCTTTATTCCCTTTCACTATTTTTTATATTCCCCAAATGAATGAGATCATATAATGTTTGTCTTCCTCCGATTGACTTACTTTGCTCAGCATAATACCCTCCAGTTCCATCCACATTGAAGCAAATGGTGGGTATTTGTCGTTTCTAATGGCTGAGTAATATTCAATTGTTTATGTACACCACATCTTCTTTATCCATTCATCTTTCAATGGACACTGAGGCTCCTTCCACAGTTTGGCTATTGTGGACATTGCTGCTGTAAACATTGGGGTGCAGGTGTCCTGCCCTTTCACTGCCTCTGTATCTTTGGGATAAATCCCCAGCAGTGCAATTGCTGGGTCGTAGGGCAGATCTATTTTTAACTCTTTGAGGAACCTCCACACAGTTTTCCAGGGTGGCTGTACCAGTTCACATTCCCACCAACAGTGCAAGAGGATTCCCCTTTCTCCATATCCTCTCCAACATTTGTTGTTTCCTGTCTTATTAATTTTCACCCTTTGTGAGATTTTTAAGTGTTTTTTTTTTTAACTTAAACTTTTAGGATTATAGTGAACAGTCTTGCATATACAGTTTACCAATCAGATCTGAAGTTTGTATTCAGTTTCTTTATTGAGGCACTGGCTGGCTTACTTGGGTAGAGCATGAAACTCTTGATCTCAGGGTTGTGAGTTTGAGCCCTGTTTTGGGTATGACACCTACTTTAAATTTTTTTTTCTTTGAAAAATATCAAGATAGATCTGTTTTTGAATAATTAAAAAAAGTAAATAGAGTCACCAAATTTCAGCTTTATTTGTTGAATGTAACTTTGTACAGCATAAGATTACTGTTTTGTTAGAGAATAAACACATTAAAATCCTGTAAAGATACTACTGGCATAAATGGAAATTTCCATACAAAGTAGGTATGTCTCAGATTTCATTAATAATAGCAAACATTGGGACGCCTGGGTGGCTCAGGGGTTGAGCGTCTGCCTTTGGATCAGGGCGTGATCCCAGAGTCCCGGGTCGAGTCCCACATTGGGCTTCCTGCATGGAGCCTGCTTCTTCCTCTGCCTATGTCTACCTCGCTTTCTCTCTCTGTCTCTCATGAATAAATAAATGAATAAAATCTTTAAAAAAAATAATAGCAAACATTTGTATAACACTATACTTGCTATGTGCCAGGTATATAGTAACATTTATTAACTCATTTAGTCCAAGTAATTACATGGACCTGGTACCATTATCCCCATTTCCAGATGAGGAAAGTGAGGCATATGCAGGTTAAGTGAAAAGCTCAAGGTTGCGTAGATTGGGATTGAACTGCGGTAAATTGGAATTGAACCCTAAACAGTTTTGTTCCGGGTCCATGCTCTTAACCATTGAACTATCCTATCCTTTTTCTGAGATGAGTGCTGTTTTCTCAACAAGTTGTCCTCTGGGGTGAGCTCTAGGAAAAGTATTGTGCTGAAGTTGAATACTTTGTTTCCTAGTACCCAAGGATAACGGTGATGCCACCATTCATCTAGCTTTTCAAGCTCCATAATTTTCCTTCCTACCTCAGGTTTCCTGTTTGTAAATCCTACCTATTATATTTGTTTCTCTCTGCTGTCACTGTTTTTGCTATCTTGATCCTGACCATCAGTGCCTGACACAACACATTCCCACCCAGTTGCCTTCTGTGTCCCTCCATTTCTAGACTTTATTCCAGACGGCAGAATTTTTTATCTTAAATCCTTAACAAGTTGATTTTACCACTACTGTTATTTTTAAATGTTTAATGACACCCATTCCTATAAGATCAAATCCAAACTTTATCGTGTCTTACAAAAACCCATTTTCCTCCCCCTAAGACAATTCGTTTATTTTTCCATCTTCTTTTTTTTTTTTTAAGATTTTATTTATTCATTCATGAGAGGCAGAGATACAGGCACAGGGAGAAGCAGGCTCCATGCAGGGAACCCGACGTGGGACTTGATCCCAGGACCCCGGAAACATGCCCTGAGCCAAAGACAGACACTCAACTGCCGAGCCACCCAGGCATCCCTATTTTTCCATCTTCAACTCTATCCTTTCCCCTTTGTACCCTCTAGTGCCTTCTTCTTAGAAGGCTGTCTAAATATACTGTGCTCTTTTATATCTCATTGGCCTTTGTCCATGCTCTCCCCCTCCCTTTTGCCTGCAAAGATTTGCTTCTCCTATAATTTCTGACTCACTCAATAATGTCTATAAATCTTTCCCTAACTTACTCAGGTGGAATCTGTTTCCCCTGCTCCCAAAGTAGTTTGTTCCTACTTCCAATATAATCATCTGGGGCACCTGGGTGGCTTAGTCTGCCTTCAGCTCAGGTCATGATCCCAGGGTCCTGGAATCAAGCACCACATTGGGCTCCCTGCTCAGTAAGGAGCCTGCTTCTCCCTCTCCCTCTACCTGCTTCTCCCCTTGCTTGTACTCACTCTCTCTGTCAAATGAATAAATAAAAATCTTTAATTAAAATAAATAATATTCATCAAATTTTATTATAGCTATTGTCATTTCCTTCACCAGACTTGAGGTATCTCATACTACATACACATTTTTTGGCAGGTAGGTGCTCAATAAGTATTTTTGAATCATCGAATAAATCAGTCTAAAAATTTTTTTCCATAGGTGCTGCAGATGATTACAATAGAATTGGTTCTTCATTATATGCTTTAGGAACTCAGGATTCTACAGATATATGCAAGTAAGGATTTTGATTTAAAACATTAAGTAAAAATTTTGTTGGCAGCCTGGGCACACAATATTTGACCCAAGAGGCATTTAGAATATCTTCTTCAAAATACATCAGTAATAATGAGCTTCTTATAAACTTGGATCAGTGTCATTTTTTTCTCTACCATTTCTTTCTTTTATTTTAAATCTGAAAAGTAAAAATTGACTTTAATATATGTAATTTTAACATTTACAAAGTTTTATTTGATGAAAATTTGCTGATACATGTGTATAAGGAACAAGAAGAGAATTCATATCAAAATGTTCTTAGGTTTTGAAGTTTATTATAAATAAATGTTTTAGAATTGGAATATGCAGGATATATATGTATGTATTTCTTTGGAGGCCAAATTGACTTTTAAAGTAAAATATGCTGTCAGTTTATACTTTTTAAAGAGGCTGGTTATTCTAGTTTATAAGTTTAATGAAAAAATAAATAAGTTTAATGAATCTTAGGGCAGTCCTAGAGTAACCTGATGGGAAGGTATTACACGTTAGTATAGAAACACTCTTTGGATATTTGCTTACACAGCTGTCCTTTATTTATTTTATACTAGTTTTTCACATTAATCTAACCAGTTAATTTTAGTTCCTATAATATTGTTTAAACCCAACTCTTCACTGAAAAATAATCCAAACCTTTTTTTTTTTTTTCAATTTTAAGTGGCAAAACTATTCTCATAGTTTATGCCTTTTTCTAAACCACATCCTTGAACTTTTTTCTGGTATATCCTGTCTTAGCAGATATGTAAGATCCAAGTTTTTCAGCAAAACAAGATTCTATATGTAGCTTACATTGATTAACATGCTACCTTCCCAAAGAGTTAGTTAAGTCTTTGATAAGAGGAAAAAGTCAACCTTGCCATGAGTTATTGGACATAAACCTGTCAGAGCAAGTTCTTTTTAGTAAAACAAAGTTAATAAAATAGTATTTTAACTTTCAGTAGTACTTGCCCTAATCCAGTCACCAGTAAATTATGTATTAATTTACAGAATATTCTCTTAATAGTTCTACATTGGGACATTTTTTAGTTGGTGTCAGCCTTTGAGAGATAGGCTATTTAGTTAAAAGTGAACATCAGCCTCTTTGGATCTGATTGTTCTCTACTTCTGTAGTAATTTTGAAGATACAGGCTTTATTTAGTATTATGTGGCATACTACTGAAGAATATAAGAAAAATTTTTTTTAATTTTAATGCATGGCTTAGGGGTACCTGGCTGGCTCAGTCAGGGGATCCTGTGACTCTTGATCTCGAGGTTGTGAGTTTGAGCCCTATGCTGGGTGTAGAGATTACTTTAAAAATGTATATTTTTAAAAAAAAAATGTATATTAAATAAATAAATAAATGGTTTAGACTGTTACCTGAAATGAGAAGATTTTCCCATAGGTGGAAGTACAGAGATGTTGAACTAAAATGAAGTCTGCAGTAAACAAGATCATCAAATAATACTATAATGAAATAAGAAAGTTCATTATTAATACAGTTTTAGAGGCATATTGCTCTGAACATTTGAAATGAAAAATCATTTCAAAGGTGACTTCTGATGAAATATTTTTCCCTTCCAGGTTTTTTCTCAAAGTTTCAGAACTGTTTGATAAAACAAGAGTAAGTACTATCAGTTAACCTTTGAGAGTCTAAATCTTTGCATACAGTCATGTGTGTAACCTGTTGTGGTTGCGTTTAACTTTATTGAGAAAGATGAGCGATATACTTCAGAAGGATGAAGAGACAGATTTAGATTTGAAAATTTGACTTTTTTTTCCAGGAAATTTCTTTTTTTGTTACGGCCTTTTGGTATTTGTATAAAAATTCATATCCTTGATCAGAGAACATGTTCATTTTAATTTTTTTTTTTATTTATTTATGATAGTCACACAGAAAGAGAGAGAGAGAGGCAGAGACATAGGCAGAGGGAGAAGCAGGCTCCATGCACCAGAGCCCGACGTGGGATTCGATCCTGGGTCTCCAGGATCGCGCCCTGGGCCAAAGGCAGGTGCCAAACCGCTGCGCCACCCAGGGATCCCCATGTTCATTTTATAACTGTGCTTAGTTTTATGAAGAATGATCTTTTCCTGGGGCTTTGTAAGCTAGAAGAAAGTCTTAGATTCATTTTAATTTTACCAAGATGATATTGCTTTTGATTTCCCATGACACTGATTTAAAAATGAGTTGTATTGGATGCCTGGATGGCTCAGTCGGTTGAGTGTCTGCCTTCAGCTTAGGTCATGATCCCAGAGTTCCAGGATCAAGTTCTGCATCAGGCTCCCTACTCAGTGGGAGTCTACTTCTTCCTCTGCCCCTCACCCCACTCGTTCTCTCTCTCTCTCTCTCTCAAATAAATAAATAAATCTTTTTTGAAAAATGAGTTGTATTGGGGCACCTGGGTGGCTCAGCAGTTAAGCATCTGCCTTCAACTGAGGTCACAATCCTAGAGTCTCAGGATCCAGCTCCTTGTAGCTTTGGACTCAGCAGGAAGCCTGCTTCCTCTTCTGCCTCTCATGCTCTCGCTCTCTCTCAAATAAATAAAATCTTTTTTTTTTTTTAAGATTTTATTTATTCATGACAGAGAGAGAGGGAGGCAGAGACACAGGCAGAGGGAGAAACAGGCTCCATGCAGGGAGCCTGACGTGGGACTCGATCCCGGGTCTCCAGGATCACGCCCTGGGCTGAATGTGGCGCTAAACTGCTGAGCCACCTGGGCTGCCCTAAATAAAATCTTTTAAGAAATAAGAATGAGTTGTACCAATACAAGACAAATACACAACTGCAGAAAAGTTTAATTCATAGTAATAATAATTTAATGTTGACATATTTTTTCAGGGATCAGTCTTAGACACAGTAATATTTAAACACTTTTGATAAAGTTGATGGAATAATGAAAATGTTTAAGCGTACTAAACTGAGGTGGAGGTGGCTAGTCCATTGTATAAATCAGATTTCAGCATGACTTTGTCAGTTGAGTAATGTGTGGTGTAGACAAGGAAAGGAAAGGAGATATTTTCTCACAAAGGAAAGAGTCTTTAAATACATAAATGTTGTTATACTGGGGTCCATTATTCTGCTTTTGGTATTTGTACCAGTGAGCATTTTCTGGGAAGATATAGTTGTTTTTCTATGCGTTTACATCAAAAGAACAGGGATTTATCACAAAATAGCTTTATGTGTCAGTAGATGTGCAAGCAGATACCAAATGGAATTAGATGTGCAAGAGACTTCTTGAGAATAACAAAGAGGAAGGAGCAGGATAGATAGGAAGAGCCTTCAGACCATACATAGTGCAGGTCTATATTGTGAAAGGAGAGAGCAGAGGAAGAGGGGACTGGGTAGGAAGAGTTTCAAACTGTAGCGTAGTCCCAAGAAAGTTTTGTCCAAGTCAGCCAGAGTTGATCATTACAGGGAGTACTGCATCAGGCAAGAATGGGCTGGCATTACTGCCCCTGTGCTCTGTCATGGTTGCCGCTGAGGTGGGTAGGGGAGGATGCATCATAACCTTGGAATGAATATTGTTCTGAATCTAGAGAGATTGCGGTTGGGACTCTGAACCATCTATGCTCCTTGCAGCAAGCAGTTTCTCTTGAAAGATATCTAGGTGGCACATTGCCATACCCACCACAATCTTCATTTCTTTTTTAGTGTTTTTGTGGTGGTCTTATTTGCTGTGTAACAAACCATCCTAAAATCAGTAGCTTAAAACATTTTATTATGCTAATGAGTTCTTTGGGTCAAGAATTCAGAAAAGACAGAACAAAGATGGCTTGCCTCTGCTGCATGATATTTGGGGCCTCAACAGGGAACATATGAAGGCCAGGGGCGGGGATCCTCTGAAGACTCTTTTACTCCGATGTTGGGGGTGATACTGGCCATCAGCTGAGACTTCAGCCAGGGCTCTTAGCTGTAACATTTGCATGTTGCCTTTCCACACTGCTGCTTAGGTTTCCTCACAATATGGTGGGTAGGTTCCAAAAGCAAGCATCCCAAAAGATGAGAAGCAGAAATTGCTAGTTTCATTAAAGCTTAGAAACTGGGGGGATCCCTGGGTGGCGCAGTGGTTTGGCACCTGCCTTTGGCCCAGGGCGCGATCCTGGAGACCCGGGATCGAATCCCACGTCGGGCTCCCTGCATGGAGCCTGCTTCTCCCTCTGCCTGTGTCTCTGCCTCTCTCTCTCTCTCTCTCTCTCTCTCTCTCTCTGTGACTATCATAAATAAATAAAAATTAAAAAAAAAAAAAAAGCTTAGAAACTGGGACAGCATCACTTCTTTATTGGTCAATCTTAGGGCCCAGATTCAAGGAGATATACCCCATATCTTAATGGAAGGAGAGGAACCATATTTAAAGCACACAACATCCATCTAACATGTTACCTAGATTTATCTAAGTCAGTTTTGAATATACTTTGTGTCTGTGCATTTATCGTTAGATTAAGAAGTTTAATAAGTTTATTTCTGGATTATAAAGGAATGTTTCATAAAAAATAAAAATAAAGGAATTTAAACTTAAGCTTCAAGGTTTTTTCTTTTTATTGAAGTATGTCATACATATAGGAAAGAGCACACATCAGAAGTATACAACTTGGGACGCCTCAGTGGCTCAGCAGTTGAGATCTGTCTTGGGTTCAGGGCGTGATCCTAGGTTTGGGGATTGAGTACCGCATCGGGCTCCCTGTGAGGAGCCTGCTTCTCCCTCTCTCTATGTCTCTGCCTCTCTCCGTGTGTTTCTCATGAAAAATAAAATCTTAAAAAAAAAAAAGTAGTACTAGTACACAACTCAGTGAAATTTTACAAATTTAACACACCCATATCATGAATACTCAGATCAAAAAATAGAATATTTACCAGCAACTCAGATGCCTTGCCCCTCTTGAGCTGCTTTCTGAGTCAGCACCTCCTGCGAGGGTAACCACTATCTTATATAAGTATTTTATCTGGTATATATTCTTTTAAGTCTGGTTTCATTTACTCAGCATTACCTATATAAGATTCGTCAATGTTGTTGCATGTGTATATAGTTCCTTCATTCTTCCTATGTAGCTTTCCTTTGAAAAAGATACAGAAATTTATTCTTCTGTTTTACTGTTGGTAGGCATTTTGGATACTTTCTAATTTGTGGCTGTTTACAAATAGTACTTCTGGGACACCTGGGTGGCTCAGCAGTTGAGCCTCTGCCTTTGGCTCAGGGCGTGATCCTGGGATCTAGGATCAAGTTCCCAATCGGACTCCACGTGGGGAGCCTGCTTCTCCCTCTCCCTGTGTCTCTTCCTGTGTGTGTGTGTGTGTGTGTGTGTGTGTGTGTGTGTGTCATGAAAAATAAATAAATCTTTTTAAAAAAATAGTTCCTCTAAGACCGTTCTTGCATATCTTCAGCTGAAAATAAATATGTATTTCTGTTGGGTGTGTATAATCAGGAGGAGAACTAGGAGCCATAGAGTCTCTATGTGAAAAGCCTTCATACAATGCCAAACCGTTTCCCTGTTTCCCAAAGTGATTCTACTAACTTACATTCCCACCAGAAGAAATGTGAGCATTGGGTTGTTGAACAGGCTTGTAATATTTGTTATTTTTTTGTGGGTTTTTTTAAGTTTTTTTTTAAGATTTTATTTATTTATTCATAGAGACAGAGAGGCAGAGACACAGGCAGTGGGAGAAGCAGGCATCATACAGAGAGCCTGACGTGGGACTCGATCCAGGGTCCCCAGGATCATGCCCTGGGCTGCAGGCGGCACTAAACCACTGCGCCACCGGGACTGCCCTATCTTTTTTGTTTTAGTTATTCTGCAGGATGCGTAGGGTTTTTATTTTTTATTTTTTTAAGATTTTATTTATTCATAGAGATGCAGAGAGAGAGAGAGAGGCAGAGACAGAAGCAGGCTCCATGCAGAGAGCCCGACCTGGGACTCGATCCAGGGTCTCCAGATCACGCCCTGGGCTGCAGGCGGCGCTAAACCGCTGCGCCACCGGGGCTGCCCTGCTTAGGGTTTTTAAATTATAACTTTATTGCAACAGTAATTTCAGACTTACAGAAAAGTTGCAAGAATAGTACAAAGACCGGAGCCTGGGTGGCTCAGGTGGTAAAGCATCTGCCTTCAGCTCCTATTATATCTCAGGGTCCTGGGATCAAGCCCCATGTCAGGCTCCCTGCTGTGTGGGGAATCTGCTTCTCCCCTCTGTCTGTATTCGCGTGCTCTCTCTCTCTCACACACAAATGAATAAAATCTTAAAAAAAAAAAAAAATTTACAAAGAATTCCTGTATATATGTCACCCAGATTTCCTGAATGTTAACATCTTCTACATTGCTTAAAGTACTTTTTCCCAAAGGGGCAACTGGGTAGCTCAGCCATTTAACGTCTGATTCCCGATTTCAGCTCAGGGCATGATCTCAGGGTCCTGAGATGGAGCCCGAGTCTGGGGCCGCACTCAGTATGGAGTCTGCCTAAGATTTTCTCTCTCTCTGCCTCTCCCCCTGTTCAAGCTCTCTCTCTCTAAAATAAGTAAATAAAATATCTCTAATAAAAAGTACTTTTCCCCAAAAGGCCCATATTCATTTCTTCTGCCCTTTGTGCATATCTCTTTTTTAAAAACATAAGAATTTTTAAAAAGATAAGAATTAATTTTAATCTACTCAATACAATTATCTATGATTCCCCCTAATATTATGAAATATTCAGTATGTAGATGATCCTAGTTGCCTAGGATGGCTTTTTACAGTGGAATTCGTTTGAGTTAGGATTCAAACAAGGTCCCTATATTGTATTTGATTGACTCAGTACTTTTTTTTTTTTTTTTTGCCTGTCTTTCCACACTAAATTGACTAGTTTCATCATTTGAGACTGCCTCAAACTAACCACATATTTTTATTACTCCTGCTTCTGGCACATTTTGTTAATGTTTTGACTATGTTTCTGGTTGTTCTCAGTAGGAAGGCTGCTTTGAATGACCTAGTCTTCCATTTTGTCAGCCTTTATCACTTTATTTTTTTTAGGACAGGGGGAGTGGTAAAGGGAGGGGTAGAGAGAATCTTAGGCGGGCTACACACGCAACATGGAGCCCAACTCGGGCTTGATCTCACAACCCTGAGATCATGACCTGAGCTGAAATCAAGAGTTGGACGTTTAACCTACTGAGCCACCCAGGCGTCCCTGCCTTCATCACTTTAAAATCATGTGTCCACATCGTTGAAATGGGTAACAAGAGAGAAATATAAGTCATACCGAAAGATATTAAAAGTCATAGCCAAGAACTTGAGTCAAATATAGAGTCCTTCCGTAATTTCAGTCATCTTATCTCATTCTTTTTTCTGTTCATTTTTTGTCAGAGTCACAAAGAAAAGGAATAGGCTAGCGGAAAGGGGAAGGCAGGGAACCTCAGGTGGAATAAGAATGGATACTGTGGTTATTTATTACTTTAAATTTTTTATAGTAGTTAAAGAAAACATTGGCTGTAGAACATGTGCTAATTAAATACCTAATTTTTCCCCCTTTGTCAGAAAATAGAAGCACGAGTGTCTGCTGATGAGGACCTCAAGCTTTCCGACCTTTTAAAATATTACTTAAGAGAATCTCAAGCTGCTAAGGTAATTTGATTCTTCATTATTTTACAAAAATCCATCTCATTAGAGGTTGTTAGACTTAAGATTGTTAATGATTATCTTTTAAATTTGATTTTCAAGTGTGAATTTTTGTTCTCCTTTTATAAATTGTTGGTCACTGAACCCCACATAAGAGTTTCCTCTATAAACTTATCACATAGTATAATCTAGAACTTTTTCTTTTTTATTAACTTGGTATATTCATTCAGTTAAAATGCCAACAAAACATAAAGTAAACCCCCAAATAACAGTCTATATAGCTGAAGGATTCCTAAGTCCTCTATTGAAGGTGAGAGAGCTATAAAACCAGGATATGTTTTATTTTAAGGCAAGTCACATTTCTCTTTGGAAGTCTGTGTGCAAGATTAAAGCTCTTACTAATCAAAACAATGTTACACAGAAGCATCTTTAAAGCACTGAAAATGTAGTGGCCCAGATATTCTTAAGTTCAGGGCACCTGGGTGGCTCAGTCCATTAAGCGTCTGCCTTTGGCTCAGGTCATGATCCCAGGTCCTTGGATCAAACCGCATGTCAGGCTCCCTCCCTGCTCAGTGAGAAGCCTGCTTCTCCCTCTCCCTCTGCCTCTCCCCCAGCTTGTGCTCCCTCACAAATAAATAAATAAAATCTTTAGGGAAAAAGAAAAGATATTCTAAACTCATTGTTAATTTATGAATCGATATATTGTACAGAAAATTCCCATGTGATCAGTGGTGCTTTATATACCAGTTTTTCATTCCTTATCAAATTATAAATAACCCTTGGGGACTTGGCTGGCTTAGTTGGTAGAGCATACAACTCTTGAGGGATCTCAGGATCACTCAGTTCAAGCCCCACATTGAGCACAGAGCTTATTACTTTATTTTTTTTTTTAAGATTTTATTTATTTATTCATGAGAGACAGAGACATAGGCAGAGGGAGAAGCAGACTCCATGCAGGGAGCCTACTACAGGATTCCATCCCAGGGCCCTGGGATCACACCCTGAGCCAAAGGCAGATGCTAAACCAGTGAGCCACCCAGGTGCCACCACAGAGCTTATTTAAAAAAAAAAAAAATTTATATATATATATATATATATATATATATATATATATATATATATATATTATTATAGGGGTGCCTAGCTGACTCAATCAGAAGAGCATATGATTCTTGATCTCAGGGTCATGAGTTCAATCCGTATGTTGAGTGTAGAGATCACTTAAATAAAGAAATAACAAAAAAAAAAAAGAAATAACCATAAAGTATAAATAACACTTTTGTTTATTAAGATTGTGTCTATTCATGAGAAACAAAGAGAGAGGCAGACACAGGCAGAGGGAGAAGCAGGCTCCCCATGGGGAGCCCGATGCAGGACTCGATCCCCAGACTCCATCCAGGGACTCAAGGCTCACGCCCTGAGCTGAAGGCAGACACTCAGCCACTGAGCCACCCAGGTGTCCCTGAATAACTCTTTTAACTTTGAGGATTTAGGGCAAATATACTGTCCATATCAGATTATAAACCATTCACATGGGTGGGCAGGGATAAAATGAATTACTTAGAGGACTTTAAATTCATTATTTTATTATACTACGTAGTTGCTAAGGCATACTTTTTAGAGCATGGCTTTAAAAATAAATGCAGGGCAGCCCTGGTGGCTCAGCGGTTTTTTTTTTTGTTTTGTTTTGTTTTTTGTTTTTTTTTGGCTCAGCAGTTTAGCGCCTTCAGCCCAGGGCACAATCCTGGAGACCCGGGATCGAGTCCTACATCGGGCTCCCTGCATGGAGTCTATTTCTCTCTCTGCCTGTGTCCCTGCCTCTGTGTGTGTGTCTCATGAATAAATATATAAAATCTTTTAAATAAAGATTAATTAATTAATTAACTAATTAGATATAAATGCAGGGACGGGGATCCCTGGGTGGCGCAGCTGTTTAGCGCCTGCCTTTGGCCCAGGGCGTGATCCTGGGGACCTGGGATCGAATCCCACGTCGGGCTCCCGGTGCATGGAACCTGTTTCACCCTCTGCCTATGTCTCTGCCTCTCTCTCTCACTGTGTGCCTATCATAAATAAATAAAAATTTTAAAAATAAATAAATAAATAAATGCAGGGACGCCAGGGTGGCTCAGCAGTTAAGCATCTGCCTCCCTCTCTCTCGGTTTCTCTCATGATATTAATGAATAAAATCTTTGGGATCCCTGGGTGGCACAGCGGTTTAGCGCCTGCCTTTGGCCCAGTGCGTGATCCTGGAGACCCAGGATCAAATCCCGCGTCAGGCTCCCGGTGCATGGAACCTGTTTCTCCCTCTGCCTGTGTCTCTGCCTCTCTCTCTCTCTCTCTCTCTCTCTCTCTCTCTGTGTGTGTGTGTGTGTGTGTGTGACTATCATAAATAAAAATAAAAAAATTTAAAAAATAATAATAATAAATAAAATCTTTAAAAATAAAAGTAAATCCAAATTTTTCAGTGACCACAAGAAATAATTGAAATTTAATTGCAATAATTAAAACTACAGGGTCGCCTAGGTGGCTCAGCAGTTGAGCATCTGCCTTCAGCGCAGGGTGTGATCCCGGTCGAGGGATTGAGTCCCGCATCAGGTCGCTGCGAGGAGACTGCTTCTTCCTCTATCTATGTCTCTGCCCCTCTCTGTGTGTCTCATGAATAAACAAATAAAATCTTAAAAAAGGGCAGCCCCGGTGGCGCAGTGGTTTAGCGCTGCCTGCAGCCTAGGGTGTGATCCTGGAGACCTGGGATCGAGTCCCACCTTGGGCTCTCTGCATGGAGCCTACTTCTCCCTCTGCCTGTGTCTCTGCCTCTCCCTCTCTCTGTGTCTCTATGAATAAATAAATAAATAAAAATCTAAAAAAAAAATTAAAACTAAGTACAGCAGAGAGAGTATAGGAATCGATGGCAGTGTGATAGCATTGTATGGTGTCAGATGGTAGCTGTACTTGTGGTGAGCATAGCATAACATACAGAGTTGTCAGATCACTGTTGCACACTTAAAACTAATGTAATACTGTGTGTCAGCTCTACTTGAACATGAGTGAGTGAGTAAAATCTCAAGCATATTCCATGCTGAGCACAGAGACTCTAAAGACCCATTTTTAAAAGGCACCTCAGGGGGCACCTGGGTGGCTCAGTCAGCTGACTGTATGCCTTCAGCTCAGGTCACGGTTGATAGAGCATGCAACTCTTGATCTCAGGGTCCATGAGTTCAAGCCCCACGCGGCGCTCCCTGCTCGGTGGGGAGTCTGCTTCTCCCTCTCTTTAGGGGCACCTGGGTGACTCGGTTGGTTGGGTGTCTGCCTTTGGCTTGGGATGTGGTGCTGCAGTCCTGGGATGGAGCCCTGCATTGGGCTCTCTGCTCACTGGGGAGCCTGCTCCTCCCTCCCACTTGTGCTTTCTCTCACTCTGTCAAATGAATAAATAAAATCTTTAAAAACTAATAAAAATAAAAATGGGTCTTTAGGGGCGCCTGGGTGGTGCAGTAAGTTAAGCATGTAACTCTTGGTTTCAGCTTAGGTCATGATCTCGGGATAATGAACGCGAGCCCTGCATCGGGCTCCAAGCTCAACGTGGAGTCTGCTTGAGATCCTCTCTCCCTCTCCCTCTGCCGTCGCCCCTCATGCACTCTTATTTCTCTCAAATAAATAAATCTTAAACAAACAAACAAGGGTCTTTAGTGGGGAAAAGAAAGATAAGGGCACCTGGCTGGTTCAGTCAGTGGAGCATGCAACTCTTGATCTCAGAGTTGAGAGTTTGAGAATCTTGAAAAATAAATAAAAATTAAAAATGGTTCAGCTCAGGAGTGCCTGGGTGGCTTAGTTGGTTAAGCATCTGCCTTGCGCTCAGGTCATGGTCCCGGGGTCCTGGGATTGAGCCCCCATCAGGCTGCCTGCTCAGCAAGGACTCTGCCTCTCCCTGTCCCTGTCCCTCTCCCCCTCTCCCCTGCTCATGCTCTGTCGCTTGCTCTCTGTCTCCCAAGTCAATAAATAAAATCTTAAAAAATAAGAATAAAGGGGATCCCTGGGTGGCGCAGTGGTTTAGCGCCGGTCTTTGGCCCAGGGCGCGATCCTGGAGACCCGGGATCGAATCCCACGTCAGGCTCCCGGTGCATGGAGCCTGCTTCTCCCTCTGCCTGTGTCTCTGCCTCTCTCTCTCTCTCTGTGAGTGTCATAAATTTAAAAAAAAAAAATTGAAAAAAAATTGAAAAAAAATTGAAAAAAAAAAAGAATAAAATAAATAAAATAATGTCTCCCTGGCCCATTTTTAAATTGGGTTGTTCCTTTTCCTACTGTTGAATTTAAGTCATTTTTTTTGTTTTCTTTTTTTTTTTATATTTATTTATTTATGATAGTCACACAGAGAGATAGTCTCACAGAGAGAGAGAGATGCAGAGGGAGAAGCAGGCTCCATGCACTGGCAGCCCGACGTGGGATTCAATCCGGGGTCTCCAGTATCGCGCCCTGGGCCAAAGGCAGGCGCCAAACCTCTGCGCCACCTAGGGATCCCTGTTTTTGTTTTCTATATTTGAGATAGCGGTCCTTTCTCAGATACATCTCTTGTAAATACTTTCTCTTGGTCTGTGACTTGTCTTCTCATTCTCTTGATAGTGTCTTTGGTAGAGGAGACGTTTTTTTATTTTAATGAAACTTACCTTATAATTATTTCTTTCATACATCATGCCTTTAGTATTATATCTAAAAAGTCTTCACCAAACCCAACATGTTCTCTTATGTTACCTTTTAGGGGTTTTATAGGTTTACATTTAGAGCTAGAATCCGTTTTGAGTTAATTTTTGTAAAGGGCGTACGGTCTGTGTGTAAATTCACTTCTCCGTGTGTGGATGTCCAGCTTGCCCAGCACCTTTTGTTGAAGACTGTATTATCTGCATGGTATTGCTCCTGTTCCTTTGCCAAAGAATAAATAGGTAACTGTATCTGGTTCTGGGCTCTCCGTCCTGTCTGTTGACTTACGTGTCTGTTCTGTCACCAGTCCCACACTGCCTAGACGGTAGCTGTATAGTCGGGCTTCAAGTACATACGTCGGTCCTCTGACTTTGTTGTTCTCCTTCAATATGTTGATGATTATTGTTTGCCTTTTGCCTCCCTACACTTGAGAATCTGTTCACCAAGATCCTCAAAATAATTTGCTGGGATTTTGATTGGGATTAGTTAAACCTATAGATCAAGTTGGAAAGAACTGATGTTGACAGTGTTGAGTCTGCATATTCATGATCATGGAATAGCTCTCTGCTTACTTATTAGCTCTTCCTTGATTTCTTTTATCAGGGTTTTGTCGTTTTGGCAGCAGGCAGCAGAAGATGCAACTCCTTCTGTCCATGGGTCCTGCCCCTACACTTGAGTTTTGTAGTTTTCCTCAAGTTGACTTTGTATTTATTTTGTTAGATTAATTCCTAGGCGTTTCATTTCTGGGGTGCTAATGTAAACATGTTCTTAATTTCAAATTCCACTTGTTCGTTGGTGGTATATAAGAAAACCATGGATTTTTGTGTATTAATGTTGTATTCTACAACCTTTTCATACTCCTTCCTTAGTTCCAGCGGGTTTTGTTGCCTTTTACAAATTTCTACGTAGACAAGTCATGTTATCTGTGAATAAATACAGTTTTATTTCTTCCTTCCCGATCTATATACTTCCTATTTCCTTATCACATTAGCTGGGCTTCCAGTATGATGTTGAGAAGGAGTGATGAGAGGGAACATGCATTATTACTGATATCAGTGGGCGAGCCTCCAGTTTCTCACCATTCAGTGTGATGGTAGCTATAGGGTTTTTGGTAGATGTTCCTTATCCAGTCGAGGAAGCACTTTATATTTTCTAGTGTGCGGAAACAGTTGCTTTTCTTTAAAGGACAGAAACTTTTTTTTTTTTTTTTTAGGACAGCTGTCAATTGATTTTTTTTTTCTAAGATTTTATTTATTTATTTATTTATTTATTTATTTATTTGAGAGAGCTCAGGCACGAGTTCGAGCTGGGGAAGGAACAGAGGAAGGGGGAACAAGCAGACCCCCTGCTGAGCAGGGGACCCCCCCCCATGTGGGGCTTAATCGCAGGACCCCAGGTTCATGACCTAAGCGGAAGGCAGACGAACTGAGACACCAAGGCCCCCCAGTCAATTGATTCCTAACAAAAGTATTAAGACAATTTAGTGGGAAAAAGAATAGACTTTTCAACAAATGGTAGTACTGTGTCAGCTGCATAGTCACATGAAAATAAAGTTAGACCCCTTCCTCATACTGTGTATAAAAATTTGCTCAAGATTAATCAAAGACCTAACTGTAACGGCTAAAACTTTAACATTTTTATAAGGAAACATAAATGTAAATCTTTGTGACCTTTGATTAGATGTTGGTTTCTCAGATACACCCGGAACACAGTAACCAAAGGAAAAAAAGAATAAATTGGACAAACCTTATTAAAATTAAAAACGTCTGTGTGTCACAGTACACTATGAAGAGAAGTGGAGGGGATCCCTGGGTGGCGCAGCGGTTTGGCGCCTGCCTTTGGCCCAGGGCGCGATCCTGGAGACCCGGGATCGAATCCCACGTCGGGCTCCCGGTGCATGGAGCCTGCTTCTCCCTCTGCCTGTGTCTCTGCCTCTCTCTCTCTCTCTGTATGACTATCGTAAATAAAATAAAAATTTAAAAAAAAAGAAGAAGAGAAGTGGAAAGACAACCCGTAGACTGGGAGAAAATATTTACAAGTCATATGAGTCCCTAATAAGCAGCTGAGATCCAGAGAATGTAGAGAACTAGTCTTCTCGATAAAAAGACAAATAGCCCAGTTAACAACTAGGCAGAGGACTTGAATCAACCTCTCTCCAAAGAAAATATACAAATGGCTAATGAATACATAAAAAGACGCTTCTTCGTCAGGGAAATGCAAGTCAAAACCTCGGCAAAAGTTGCTGGGTCAATGGGTAGAGCATGCGACTCTTGATCTTGGAATTGTCAGTTCTAGAGATCGCTTAACAAATATAATCTTTAAAAACAAAACAAAACCACAGCAAGATACCACTTCACACCCACTAGGTGGCTTTAATCGAAAAGACAGATAATGGTTGCCAAGGACGTGGAGAAATTAGAACCCTCATACAGCGTCAGTGGAAATAGAAAATGGGGAGTGCCTGGTTGGCTCAGTGGGTTAATAAGCATCTGCCTTCGGCTCAAGGCAGATCTAGGGTCCTGGGATCGAGGCCTATGTTGGGCTCTCTCTGCTCGGTGGATAGTCTGCTTCTCCCTCTCCCTCTGCCCCTCTCCGCCCCCCCGCTCATGCTCCCTGTCTCTCTCTCTCCCCGCCCCCCTCAGATGAATAAATAAAATGTTATAAAAAAGCAAGCAAGCAAGTAAGCGTGCACCATAAAATGGTACAGCTGCTTTAGAAAACAGTCTGGCAGTTTCTCCAGAGGTTCAACATAGAGTTACCAAATGACCCAGCAATTCCACTCCTAAGTAATGAGATATGAAAGAGAAAGGAAAACACGTTCACACAAAAACTTGCACAAATATTCACAACAGCATTATTCATAATAGGCAAAACATGGTAACAAACCAAATGTCTATCAACTCATAAGTCAATGTGGTATTTCCATATAATGAAATATTATTTAGCAATAAAAAGGGAGGAAGTACTGGTTCACACAATAACGTGAAAGAATTTGAAACTTTGGGGATCCCTGGGTGGCGCAGCGGTTTGGCGCCTGCCTTTGGCTCAGGGCGCGATCCTGGAGACCCGGGATCAAATCCCATATCGGGTTCCCGGTGCATGGAGCCTGCTTCTCCCTCTGCCTATGTCTCTGCCTCTCTCTCTGTGTGTCACTATCATAAGTAAATAAAAATTAAAAAAAAAAAAAAAAAAAAGAATTTGAAACTTTATGCTAAGTAAAGAAAGCCAGGCAGAAAAGGCCCCATATTATAGGATTCCCTTTTTTTTTTTTTAAATGAAATGTCCACAATAGGCAAATCTAAGAAAGCAGATTAGTGGTTGTGGGGGGCGGTGAGGTCGGGGGGAGGACGGTGGTGTGAGAGGAAATGAAGAATGACTACTGATGGATAGGTTTCCCTTTGGGTTACAGAATTGTTCTAAGACTGATTGCAGTGTTGGTTGTACAATTCTGGTTGTGCAACTAAAAACTGTTAAGGGGTGCCTGGGTGGCTCATTCGGTTAAGCGTTTGCCTTTGGCTCGGGTCATGATCCCAGAGACCAGGGATCAAGCCCCACTTGTTGCTCCCTGCTCAGTAGAGTCTGTTTCTCCTTCTCCCTCTGCGCTCCCGGCCCCACCCGCGCTCATGCGGGATTCTCTTCCGCAAATAAATAAAATGTTCAAATTTCAAAAGAAACGAGACACCTGGGTGGCTGAGTGGTTAAGCGTCTGCCCTCGGCCCAGGGCGTGATCCTGGAGGCCCGGGATCGAGTCCCGCATCGGGCTCCCCGCATGGAGCCCGCTTGTCCCTCTGCCTGTGTGTCTCTCATGAATAAATAGATAAAATATTTTTATTTTTTTTTAATTTTTTTAAATTTATTTACGATAGTCATACAGAGAGAGAGAGAGAGGCAGAGACACAGGCAGAGGGAGAAACAGGCTCCATGCACCGGGAGCCCGACGTGGGATTCGATCCCGGGTCTCAAGATCGCGCCCTGGGCCAAAGGCAGGCGCCAAACCGCTGCGCCACCCAGGGATCCCAATAAAATATTTTTTAAAAGATTTTCAAATTTTTTTATTCATGAGAGATGGGGCGGGGGGCTGGGTGCTGCGGGCAAAGACATAGGCAGAGGGAGAAGCAGGCTCCGTGCAGGGAGCCCGATGCGGGACTCGATCCTGGGACCCCGGGATCACCACCTGAGCCTACGGAAGACGCTCAACCACTGAACCACCCAGGTGCCTCATAGGTGAATTTCTCTCGGTAAAGCTGTTATAAAAACCATCTAGAAGAGTAACTGGCATGTGCGGTATCCATGGTTGAAGTATTCCCTCTGCTGATGATGGGGTGGCGGGGTAACTATTAGAAACATGCAGCGTGTATTACTGGGAAGCATTCTGTTTTATAGGATCTCCTCTATCGAAGATCTAGGTCACTAGTGGATTATGAAAATGCAAATAAAGCACTGGATAAAGCAAGAGCAAAAAATAAAGATGTCCTGCAGGCTGAAACATCCCAACAGTTATGTTGTCAGAAATTTGAAAAAATATCTGAATCTGCAAAACAAGGTACTGTTGTTAGCTTACCGTTTGATCCTGAAGTATACTTCAAGCTATTCTATAAAATTAATCTCATTTCTTTTGTTCACAGAACTTATAGATTTTAAGACAAGAAGAGTTGCCGCGTTCAGAAAAAACTTAGTGGAACTGGCAGAGTTAGAACTGAAGCATGCAAAGGTTAGTGTCACATTGAAGGCTTGATAATTTAAATGACTTCTAATTTAGGAATGAGTCAGTTACAGGGTGCCCGGCCAGCTCGTTGGCCTCTTGAGTTTGAGCCCCATGTTGGGCGTAAAGGTAAGGAAGGAAGGAAGGAAGGAAGGAAGGAAGGAAGGAAGGAAGGAAGGAAGGAAGGAAGGAAGGAAGGAAGGAAGGAAGGAAGGAAGGAAGGAAGGAAGGAAGGAAGGAAGGAAGGAAGGAAGGAAGGAGAAAGAAAGAGAGAAAAAAGAAAGAAGAAAGAAAAGAAAGAAGAAAAGAAAGAAAGAAAGAAAGAAAGAAAGAAAGAAAGAAAGAAAGAAAGAAAGAAAGAGAAAGTTCATTGTGGAATTGATAATAATTCTTTAATGACCTTTTCCTTCTTCCTACAGGCATACACAAATAAGTATTTCTGAATTAGAATTCATAATAATTGGAATTATACTTTTTGAAGATTATTTTACTACTTCAAAATAATTCTGATTTAGAAAATAAACATCCTTCTTCCGGGGTTTTTCTGTAGCGTTTGTTTCCTTCACATCGAGCCCTTTCTTGTAGTTAATATAAAGATACAGCTTCGGGGACACCTGGGTGGTTCAGTTGGTTGAGCGCCCAACTCTCGCTTTGGGGTCAGGTGGTGGTCTTGGAGTTGTGGGCTCCAGGCTCAGCATGGAGTCCACTTGAGATTCTTTCTCCCGCTCCTCCTACCGCTCCCACTCGTTCTCTCTCTCTCTCTCTCTCTCTCTCTCTCTCTCTCTCTAATAACCACTTTTTAAAAAAGGATAAAGTTTGGCCTAAACCTTATAGTGATTTTAAAACTAAAGAATCTTAGAATTGAGAGGGACGTGGGCGCCGGAGTGGCTCAGTGGTCGAGCGTCTGCCTTTGGCTCAGGTCGTGATCCCGGGGTCCTTGGATCGAGTCCTATATCGGGCTCCCCACGGGGAGCCTGCTTCTCCCTCTGCCTGTGTCCCTGCCTACTCTCTGTGTCTCTCGTGAATAAATAAATAAAATTTTTAAAAGAGCCAGAGAGAGAGAGAATTGAGAGGGATTTTACAGAGCACCTAATTTAAACAAGAATATCTGCAGTTTCTCCAAACGGACAGCTCTGCGAGACTCTAGTACCTAGGATGGAAACCAGTATCGTGTTTTGATTAGCTAAAAAAATAAATCACTTTTTTTTAAAGATTTTATTTAAGAAAATAAAAAAAATTTTTTAAAAAAAATTTTATTTATTTATTCATGAGAGACACAGAGAGGCAGAAACATAGGCAGAGGGAGAAGCAGGCTCCTGGTCTGGGACGCTAGCCCAGATGGACGCTAGCCCTGTCCACCCAGGGGCCCCGCCCCAGTCAATAAATCTTAAAAAAAAAAAAGAAAGAAAGAAAAGAAAGAAAAGAAAAGAAAATGTTCAGTAGTTTCACTTGGACACAAAGAGCACCTCTTCTCTCTCAGTAGATCATGCCAGGTAATCCAAAACAGTAATATTGGTGTACGTGGACATTTACTGAAGCATCTGGTTCTGTGGAAAATATTGTACGTGAAACAGGTTAAATAAATAGTTTTAGGTCTTTAAACAGTTACTTCCGTACAAGAAGCAGTTGTTTTCCAAATCCGGTTATCTTCGTGTAGCGTGCTGTGACTTTTTGGTCCGGTTCTTCTGGGCTTCGTAACTTTCTCTCCTTTCCTGTTTAGGGTAACCTACAGTTGCTGCAGAACTGCTTGGCAGTGTTAAACGGAGACACATAAGCCGCACTCCACCTTCGGCTAAAAAGGGCTGCCTTCCTTCAGATTTTATTTTTGTTTTCTGAATGATATTAAAGCATTTACTGCTCACCGGGAAGAAAAGAAACAGCCGACAAAGTGCATCTACTCTCCTTTTTTTCTGAGAAACAATGGAGCGGAGCCGTCCATGGGTTCTGCCGATCTGTGGGGGGACACTGCCCCCCTGTACCCGAATGCTCCCTGGGACAGCCGTGGGTCACCTCGCGCTCCTCCTCTTCCAAAGCCCAGAGTTCAGTCTTTTCCTTAAGTAGCCTCCGTAGCTGTGTTTATTTTATGCGTAGTATTCCTTACGGCTGCCAGCCTCGTTTACGTTTAAGTACTTTCTGAAGTTTAACCCTTTTGAAGATACATTGTTCAAACAAGGGCAAGATTGCCGGCCGTCACCTTCTTTTGAATTTTGTTCTCAAAAGACATTGTGTACCACCTTAGTTCATTCATGTATCCTGGTAAAGCATCGTAATCAGACTTGTTTTTAATTGATGAACATTTCTTAGAAGTTTTGGGACAGACTTTATGTAATCTTTATAAGTATGATTTCTGATGAAGAGCAAATGCATTAGTATGTTTGCCTTAAACTTGTAGACTAAACCAACTATTATCAAATAAAAAGTGATAACAGTGATAGTTTTTTTTAACTCTGTGGTCATTGTATCACTCTAAAATTTGGAGTAGCTGTAACCCGTCTACTCCTTTGTTATGCTTTACAGTACAGGTCCTACGTTTTCTTTTCTTCTTTTTCTTAAAATGGCATATTGAACCAAGTTCCACCAGTCCCTTTACAAGAGGACGAGCTGCTTTCCTGTGTGCGCTTTTTTTGCATTTCATAGAAGATGGAATTGGGCAGAGGCAGGTTAGAAACAGCCATTTCTAAAATACGGGAGCAGACAAAATAAATGGTCTGTTACGGTTTCCTGAATTCCGTCTCCATCTAGCTCAGCTAAGGAACCACGCGACGTGCCATTGAGCCACTTGATAGTCATTCTGGTGTGTAAATCGGTACGTAGAGAGGAAGAGTGCTCTAGGGAACAGCACTTGTCGGTGGGGGCACAGTTGGAATAAAAAGGATACTGATTGTCAGTGATTACGAATATCATTGGCCTTTTGGATGTAGATTAACATCCCGTCATTTCTCCTTTAAAATTAGGTTGTATGGTTTGTTTGTTTGTTGTTGTTGTTGTTGTTTTCTTTTTCACTGTCTAACTTTTCCTCCAGTTGGAAGCCACAGGTATGGCTGTGGGTGGGTTCCTCGTTTACATTTTCCCAGACCCTGTTTGTAGGCCTTAAGGGTAGTCGCCATGATTCCAGCCTCGCGTGTTCTCTTGCCTTACTGGTGTGCCCTTTGATGTCTCTCTCGCTGAGGTGGTTCCCTGATGCCGTTTGAGCCTGATTTTTCTGTTGCCTGAGAAATCTCTGTGTTTTTTCCTCCCCCACGTCTCCTTCACTGGTGAAAATATGCCCATGCGATGCTCTCCGGTGGGTGAACGTGGGACAGAGAGCCCTAGCTTCCGGATTCGGGTGCGGTCCCTTCCCCGGCTGCCCTTGTGGCCTGAGGCGGGTTGGCTTGACCTGTGTCTGCCTCATTTTCTCTACTACAAAGGACATACTGACCTACCTCACAGGGGTGTTGTGAGGATGAATAAACATTGGTACAGTGCTTTGGAAATGTGAAGATGCTGTGTAAATGCTAAGAAACAGCAAGTACAGGGCGGAAAGCTACGTACGACGTTCCACGTGGCCCTCAGCTACTCTGTACCGAGGAGGTCTTTTTGGAGGAAAGGGGTAGGAGAGTGCTAACATGCATCCTTGGTCCCTGGGTCACATTCTTACAGTGTGTGTTGGGGTGGGTTAGACTGCAAGCAGCAGCACGTACGTATTAGAGCAGGGGGGGCGGGGGGGGCTTGATGAATACGTATAGATGAGTTGACCACACTGTCCCAGGGCCTTCTCACAAAACACAGATAAGAACAAAGGTCACTCCCTCAAGGGCCTACTTTAGGAAAGATTCTACTTGGTACCTCCAGACCGACCGAAGCATTCCATACTTCACCGCTGCTAGTTGCCGCTTTAAGAAAACCAAGGTTTCACGGCTCCCGTGCTGGGGCATTCATTACACGTTTGTTGGCCCCCGTCCGTGCCCCTGGGGGACGCGAAGGAGAAACAGGAGGATGCCCCGTGGCCACCCTGCACGGGTGGTAGAGAGTTTCCGGCGGGTGACTGCTGACCCTCTGAGAGGAAAGGAGCGACCTAGGCACTGGGAATAAACCGGGATGGGAACGGTGGGATGGGAAGCAGGGGAACGCGGTTCGCGGGTGAGAGCGGAAAATGAAAAAGAAATTGCAAGAGAGTGGGGGGAAGGCTCCGAAGCGCGGCCGACATGACGGAACAAACAAGAAAACTCGAGCGTCAAGCCGTGGGCAGAAGGCCGTAGACAGCGGACCGAAGCTCGCGGCTGCCCGGGCGGGCGCACGCCGCAGAGAACACGGCGAACGCCCAGACTCGAGGTAAGAACGCACAACGACGGCAAAAGCAGAACCGTAAGAACCCGAAAGTCACAAAGAGCACAACCGAGCTGCTGTTGAACACCCAGATGCCAGGGGAAAGCGCGAACGCAGTCCCCCACTACCACAAATTATGCAGTCGAGTTTCCCACATTTGGGGAAATCGCAGGGGTCAGCACATCCGGAGTGCAATGGATAAGCCTCGCCCTGGGAAAACCACCTTCGTGATCATGGTATCTCCCCTGCCAGGTAAGTATGAGTTGCTCCCCACCCCGACGCACGCACCCTGGCGCTCGCCCCACTCCTTACACACGGTCACTTCACGCCCGCCGCCTCCGCACCCCGGCTCCCCGCGCCACCCCCCGCTGACACCGGTGTCCACCCCACGCACCGCCTCCGGCGCCTTTGTCTCGCCCCACGCGGGCCCCGCGGGCCCCGGCGGTGCCGGACCAGCGGCCTCTGCGCGCCTGCTCATCTGCATACGCCACGCCCCTGTCCCGCGGTTCTCTGGCTTGTGTTTGGCGCCCTGCACATAAAAATAGACGACAAGGCGGGATCTGCTCTGATTTTTTTTTTTTTTTAAGCGAAAATAAGCGTTAGTTTATAGTTCCGGTTTTTGATTTTTGGTGTTTTGTTTTGTTTTGTTTTGTTTTGTTTTGTTTTGTTTTCAAGTAACCTCTACACCCAGTGTGGGGGCTTGAGCTCTGCCTCCTAGTCGCCTGCTGTACTCTGAGCCAGCCAGGCTCCCCACACGCCAGGTTGTAGTTTAAGACCAGACTGAGGCGTTTGACACTCTCATTATCTTTTTCTAACCTTTTGCCACTGAGAAATAGTCTTTTGGACAGTCATCCCTCCATGGGTGTCTACTTTTTCTTTGGCTGACCTGCGGCTTCCAGCAGGTGAGGGCAGGTTTCCTTGACCTGTACGTTTCTCTGGGGATGACACGCTAACTATGTTACGTAAAAAAAAAATAAAATAAAATAAAATAAACTCGGGATCCCTGGGTGGCTCAGCGGTTTGGCGCCTGCCTTCGGCCCAGGGCGTGATCCCGGAGTCCTGGGATCAAGTCCTGGGATCAAATCCCTCATCCGGCTTCCTGCATGGAGACTGCTTCTCCTTCTGCCTGTGCGTCTGCCTCTCATGAATAAATAAATAAAATCTTAAAAATATATATATATATATATAACTCCAAAAACATATATATATAACTCCAAAAACATATATATATAACTCCAAAAACATATATAATATGCTACCGTTTGTCTAGGGAAAATGTGAAAACAAGAAAAGTATACAGTCTTTCAAAAAGACAATAATAAACCAGAACTGATGACAGTTGGGGCGGGGTGAATAGAAAGAGTGATGAGTGATGCTTTACTGAGCGTACCTTCTTTGTGAATTCTGATTTGGGGAACTCTATCAATGCTTTACCTGTATTTTTAAATTGCAGGGCGGAAATCCCTAAAATTGCATATAAGCACGACTGAAACAAACTGTCTCACGAGTAGTATAAACCCCACTGAAATAGGAAAAAAAAATAAAAAATAACCTAGTGAAATGACTTTTGGACACAGTACACTGACTATAAACATCTCATAAACACCTTGTCCAGAGACAAGAACTGCAGAGGTTTGTAGTTCATAGCTATGTCTGTGGAACAATTCTGTAACAATGTTGCATGTATTGTAGGCTTAAGCTAATGAGTAAATGGAGATTGGGGAGTCAAGGTTCTCACTGCCAGAGAAAACAGATCCAAATAGGAGGTGGTGGAATCCCTGTGTGTAAAACTGAAAGTGGAAATTGACGGTATTGGGATGGGCTCATTTCTTTTAATAGAATTAATATAACAGGTACGGGTATACATACATACATACATACATACATACATACATATGGTTTTTTTTCTTTCTTTCTTTTTTACCTCTATCCACCAAAGGGGACTAGAAGGAAAGACAGCATTCAGCTTACCTCCTACCAGGATCTTGCTTTCTAAATGCCATTCTCCACTAAAAAGAACCAGGCCGGGCAGCCTGGGTGGCTCAGCGGTTTAGCGCCTGCCTTCGGCCCAGGGCGTGAATCTGGAGTCCCGGGATCGGGTCCCTCATCGGGCTGCCTGCATGGAGCCTGCTTCCCCCTCTGCCTGGGTCTCTGCCTATCTCTCTCTCTCTCTCTCTCTCTCTCTCTCTTTCTCTGTGTGTGTGTGTCTCAAGAATAAATAAATAAAATCTTAAAAAAATAAAAATTAAAAAGTATATAAAAAATTAAAAGAACCAGTCCTCTGGAAAAGTAGATTTTTTTCAGGAGTCAAGAAAGGTACAAAGTGACCCAGGAACATCTCGTGCCAGAAGATAAAGAAATGCTCCAATAATCGTATGGACGTGTCAAAGGACACAGCAGCCACGCTGCACTTGATCTTAGCCAAGAGGCCGAGAAGTGATTCACAGTAGCCACCCTGAACCGACTTTCAAAGGCCCAATCTGATAACATCTGAACATCAAAATAAATTTAAAAACAGTTATTGGTTACAAACAACTGAATGAAATAACCACCATGAGTTCATATGGATGGTACACAGGGAAGGAGGCAAAGTTCCTCCGTACACTGCAACGCCAACTAATAAATGGAGAATGAATGATGGAATTAGAAGATCAACATTTGTCAATTAGAACGCAAGAGTCCTCAAAGGACGCTAAAACTATTGTGTTAGGGGTGCCTGGGTGGCTTGGTCGGTTTAACGTTCCCACTCTGTTTCGGCTCAGGTCATGATTTCGGGGGTCCTGAGATCAAGCGCCCCGCCCCCACTGGCTCAGGCACTCAGAGGGAAGTTGGCTTGAAGATGCTTTTTCTCTGCCCCTCCCTCCACTTGCTTGGGCCCCCCCAAGCAGACTGCCCGAGTGCGGAGTCTGATGCGGGGCCAGATCCTAGGACCGGTGAGATCCTGACCTGAGCTGAAACCAAGAGTCAGACAGACACCTAACCCACGGAGCCACCCAGACGCCCCTAAGCGATCAACGTTAATACCACCAATAATTGAACAAACTCGCTTCCTGGGCCTCCGAAGGTGGTGCCCAGAGGAGCACACCGTATTAATTTGCTAGATCTGCCATCATAAAAAAAGCTACCA